AGACACTGGTCAATAACCAAATGACGCCAGGTAATGTTCAGCAACAAGACACAAATAAAGCAATTCGCTCCGCATAAGTCATTAGTTTGTCGCCCCCCTAATTAGCGTTTTAATGCAAGGTATACCGTACCAGCTGTTAAGCAATGTCCTTCAATCATGGTGTGGGGCGCAATAGCTTCATCTGGTCGATGTGGTATTTATTTAATGCAGAAGGGACAGACTGTTAACTCCCAACAATATCTAAAAATCCTTCAAAAAAAGGTTCCAAATTTGATGGAAATTCATCGTTGCAAGATATTCCAGCATGATGGTGCACCATGTCACCAATCTCATTTTGTAAAATCTTGGTTAGAGGATCACAATGTTCAGGTTCTGGGTCCTTGGCCGGAATCATCCCCAGACTTGAACCCAATCGAAAATTGCTGGGTCAAGTTAAAGTCAGCAGTATCCAGAACTAATCCTACATCACTGGACGATCTAGCGCATAAAATTCGTCAAGCTTGGATTACTGAATTAACACCAGAATATTGTAAGGCTCTCTAGGGTTCAATGCCAAATCGCATTAATGCAGTCTTAAAAGCACATGGTGGTGCCACTAAATATTAAATTCAATGAAACTGAGAGTAAAAAACATTAATATAAACATTAAATATGTACGATATGTTACATTATATTCATTAATTGCTACTGTTATTCTTTTATTGCTATAATACAATTGTTTATTACTACATTAAACTAGTTTTAAGTAAAATGATACTGCTGGTCAGATTTCAATGGCCATGACTGTATATATATATATATATATATATATATATATATATATATATATATATATATATATATATATGAAGATCAAATGGGTAAAACCACAGATGTCCACTTTTTGAAAATTTAAAGTTTTATATATTTTTATAATATTTTAGTACTAAGCTATTTTCATTTAAGGAGTCATAACAAAAAAACAATGTTTTAAGGTTCTATAGTCATTTTAAAAAAAGGGCAACTTTGAAACAACAACTGTTTTCCAATATTTACTGTGTAAAAAACACAGTTCTTCAAGTTATTTATAACTAAACCAAGGATAATAAAAGCGTAAGTCACATGACAAACTTTTATCCTTAAGAAAAATACGGCGGATGAAGTAAACAAAATTAAGTTCACAGAAAAACATTATATATATATATATATATATATATATATATATATATATATATATATATATATATATATATATATATAGTATATATATATATATATATATATATATATATATATATATATATATATATATATATATATATAATAAGTTTTTTTTTATGACAAAAATTATCTCGTTAATTATTTCAAGTTTTGTTTTAGTTCATAAGGTGTACCTTTCTATCTAAAAAAAATTATATTAAAGTCTACTTTTTAGGATACAAAAGGTACAATAAGGTGTACCTCTTGTATCCTAAAAAAATAGACTCAATAATATCAAAATATTATTGAGTCTATTTTTTTAGGATACAAGAGATACTGCTAACAATATATTGAATACTGCTATAACAATATATTGAATACTGCTAACAATATATTAATACTGCTAACAATATATTGAAAATAAAGAATGTTTTGGATGTATAGCTCCAGCTCCATCAGAGAAAAGTTTAAATATTTTAATAGAGGAAGAGCTACGTGTCTTTCAACTCATCACGCTTTTCATTGTGAAATAATTTGCTTGGATTTCCCCCCCCCAAAAAAAAAAAAAAACCTGTACATTTGAAACCAATATGTATACTATTCCAGGTAACAGCTGTTTTATTTTTTAAACACTAATATACTTTCAACTCAAAAATTATATTTTTATTGCTATGATGAAACTGTTGGACACAGATGGTCTGATGCTTTATGTTCTATGCTGTATGATTTATGCTGCATGATTTTAAATTATAAATTATTTCAAATGTAAAGGATATTAAATTGATTTGCAACTTATTAAGCTAGGCAAAATATAAAATGAAAAATTTCAGAAAATGAAAAGTTTTAGATAGATTTAATTATCTAGTTCATAAAACTGAAAAACTTGACAGAATTACCGTTTCATTACCAATTGTCACATTCTGTATAGGCATGACACATCTACAGAATATGACAAAAACATTGCCATTGCAAATCAAACGTTTTTGGCAGAAACACTAGACGATCTCACAAAAAACCATAACAATTCAATATTATATATAAACATGATACAAGAAAAAATTCTGAAATTTGTAGAGTTTCAAAGTCAAACTTCTTAGTTGTTTGTTCATTTAAGACATGTTCACTTAGAAAAATTGAAATATTAAAGGTTAGTTAAAATTTAATTATATGGAAAAGTGGAAATATTTAACTTTATGTGTGTTATGTCCCATGTATTTAGATCAAAGATCAAAGTGCCTGATAAACTTAAACAAGTATACACAGCTCTGTTGCCTCTTATTTGTTAAAAATTTAAAGACTTTTTGAAGCTAAACATTTTCAAAGTGGACAAAATAAGGCATTATTTTATATTATTTTATCTTATTTTTGAAAAATTTATTTTATTTTTCTTTGAAATTAAAAAAAACATTTTTATTAACGGTGTGTTCATAAGTGGTTTTTGTATGGTTTATACAAAATATAGAAGAGGCTAGGGAAGACATAAGGTTGCAATGCTATTTTGTATAAAGTTAAAAAAAAACTTTCATATAATTTTTTATTTAATTTTTTTTTTTATGAAAAGAAGGAGGGGGGGGGGATGGCTTTATTGTCTTATCACATACTTAGTAAATTGTGGTTGTATATTACAATGTGTTACTATCTAACTTTAAAAAAATAAGTGTTCTAAAAGGTTATAAGCTAGTAAATAAGTGTTTTGTTTTCAAAAGAGCACTGTGAATAAATAATTCTTGTATTTAACACAAAAACTGCATTTATATATTGTGGTAGGACTAAAATGTCTTAAAAATACTTTTAATTTAATACATTTAACATTAACAAACAGATATCTAATATATATAAACATATATATATATATATATATATATATATATATATATATATATATATATATATATATATATATATATATATAT